CCTCAGTGGTCATCCCAAGTCTGACAGTAGTCCCTCTTTTAAATGGTTTTGACCATCATCGGTTGGACACCTGCCATTGAAACTTTGATTTCCAGTCATCAGGTGACACTTGGATGGGCTGTTGCAGAGTATCTTGGTTTTCTTTGTACTCCATCCCTGTGTGTGTACTTACCCTTTACAGTACCTACCATTGGTCTGTAAACTTTCCTCTTAGGGCAAAACATGCCTACTTTGGCTGAAAAGTCACAGGCTGAAAAGGTACATGTCTGGAATGTGTACCAATCCAGTTTGTGGGAATGAGGGAACTATTTCCTGAACTGTGACAAGGAAAGGGAGGGTTTAGGGGTGTGTGGCAGTTTGTGTTCTGGAGTTTGCTGGAGTAATGGATGTGCTTTTCGTTAAAGGAAATATATGAAATCTCTTTATGAACGTATTTATCTATTTTTGTCACTTCTCAGTGCTTAAAGGAATTTTAGATGCTAACTTATTGTTTTAAAAAGTCTGAGATGTTACAGAAATACTAGAGCCATGCTGAAAGCAAATTTTAAAATCAATGTTGTCTATACAGAAGCTAATATAGAGACCTAGGAGAGTTTGAAAACAGAGATGCTGGTAAATTAAAATTGCATGCATGAAAGGGAAAAAAAATCAGGAGCAATCTGTGACGTCGGCATCTTTCTTTTTCATTCTTCCTGGATTCACTGAAACTAAAAAGGCATAACACCTTTTCAGTCTCTCCTTATAGTTGCTGTTGTCTCTTGCTACCTGTAGTTTGGCAAAATCACTGCAGAATGAGGTGTGCAGGTTCTCTAGTTCTGATGAATGACTTCCCAACTCTCCTTCTGGGATAAAACCTGGTGAATGGGTTAGTCCTGTGTTGTCACGGAACTTCTGGAATGCCCTTACTGTTGGAGTTTTACTGAAGTACTACATTAATTTCTGCCTGACTGTCAGTGGTGTGGTGTTTGTTGCATTTTTAGAATACAAAGAATTTTAGATTATTAAAACAAATGGCTAGAGGTCCTGAAGATGCTGTGATGTATGTAGTAGCTTGAGTGTGCCTTGTTTCCTACTGCTCCCAAGTGATTAATGGGCTCAATGTTCTTTCTGTTCCCAGCCCTCTAAACCAGAATTCCTCTATTTCACAGGTTACCTCCAAATACTTGAAAAAACAAAATCTTAACAAGAATGCAGTTGTGCAAAAGGGAACATTTATTCCCTAAATGGAAAGTAGAATGCACTAGCTTCTTGGTGTAAGACTGTAACAGAGTTTCATTGCATTTTGGGGCTAGGCAGAGGCCTTTCAGTCAGTTTACTAAACGCCCGTAAATAGGCAAACCAGTGTTTTTTTTCATCATAGGAAAGCTTTCAATGTTTATGGATTTTCCAAGTGTCATTTCTGCTGTGACCATTTGCATTATGAAAATAACAATGAAAATATACTCGGAGCTGTTTTTTACTGTTTTGTTCTGCCTGTTTGCAAACTGACCTGGAAATTGTCTAAAGCAGAAGAAGATACTGCCTGCTTAGGACCTTTGCTGTTGGAATACACTGTTCTCAACCCTGGGTGCAGTTTTTGTTGGTAGCAGTCAACATACAGGAGATGCAGGAAGCTGAAGTCCATTGATAATTAGGGGAATAAACAGTGCAAAGTCACAGGTCCGGGAGGGGTAGGTTTTTGATGTTTTGGCATGACTGAACAGTCAGGTGCTGTTGGAATCAGCAGCTGCTGCAAAGTTGTGCGTGTTACGAGATGGAAACCATTGACTGCAGCACTGATTGCTGCCAGCGTACAAAAGAGCTGTTTAGATAATGGAATTTCTCTGTCTTCCACTTTCCGGGTGGCTTATTATCAAGTATGACAGCTTGTCATGTGCAATCATCGTCACATCAGTCCTGTGAGAACGAGTGCTCCCCTGAAAACCCTCATCCCTTCCATGTACAGGGTGAAGCACAGGGTAGAACTGGAGTTCCTACTTGAGTGCACTTGTTGCGCCTGACTGTGGAGCTGTGGCTTGGTCCTTCAGAGAGGTGACCTTACAGGGACTGACAAGGCATTAGTGAGTGTCTGTTCATTAACCAGAAGGAGGGACAGTTTGCTCCTCTCTGGAATTTACTTTTCAGAGTGGCAAAGAGACACTTTGAGAAGGGATTTAATAAGCTAAATAAAGTTATTCCAAACGTAGTGATGAGGATGATTAACGGTTGGACTTAGTGATCTTAAAGGCCTTTTCCAACCTAAATGATTCTGTGATTCTATGATCTAACTGCATATTAGTAAAATGGAATTAAACTGACTATCTGTTGTTCCTTTAAACTGTTCACATAAATGTAAACATTTTACACTGACTTGTACCTTGGTTTAGAAAGATTTTGTCTTGCAGGTATCTATTGAGCACTGAGATTTTAGGCATTAGCACACATTCAGTGGGTCAGTTCTTGTATTTTTAACTTATTTCTCAAATGTGGGAGACCGTGCAAGCTTATTGTCCTGTGGGTTTTTTTTGTTTTTTAAATGCAGAGAATGCACAGTGTGCTTTACTAGACATCTTTGTGTTAACTAGTATCATTGCCTCAGTGTTTTTCACACCCTCTGATATCAGCACTTGTGATATTATGTGTCCATTGTAGAGGCAAGGGGAAGGCAAGATACAACACACTGACTTCAAGTAGATTTAAGTAAAGATGAACTGAAAAAAATAGGCAGTCTTTCATAAGACCACTAAATTATGATCTTGTGTCTTCAAAGCAGTAATGAAGAAGACATGCCAGAAAGCTATGCTGGGTGTTGCAGGACTTACCTGCATGTGCAATACAAATGATGAGGAGGAAACGAAGTCAGATACCAATAAATCTTTTCCCTTTTTATCTTCTTCAACTGAGTGAAGAACGTCTGTAGAGTGAACAATGTCTAGATGCCCAAGTAGAGCTGTTGGTTGTTGGTGGGCACAGAAAAGGTGAGATGTGTCAGAGACTTGTCAGTGTTTGGGTGCATGAGTAAGAAACACTGAACGTGGGCAACATTTTCAGGAGATCGGCCAGAAGGTGGTGTTTAAATCATGGGTACAAGAGAACGTGAAATCCACAAAAAGAATGCTGAGGAATTTTCAGAAGTAAGAGAGCTAAGGAAATGTGTTTTGGGTAACCCAGTCCTGATACTGTTGAAAGTAGCAGAGTGCAGGACTAAAGAGAACTGATAATTGACCCAAAACTTAAGGAAGGAGGTGGCTGGATGGGGGATTACTTAGCAAAGGGAAGTTTTGTTGTCAATTTTATTTCAAGAGTAAATTGATAAAAAAAATCACTTCTATATTCATGTGGATATAACAGAGATCCATTTTATCTCTAAATAGGACATTTTAAGGAATTGAAGGAAGAAGAAAATTTCAGTAGTGGGTTGTTGATTCAGCAGTGTTTGGTGAGAATAAGACAGCAGTTAATGGAAGAGTTTTTGTAGTGTGCTTGAATAATGGTATATGAAGACATGCTTGAAAGCTGATGGAAGGAATACAGATGAGCAAACCCAAAGAAGAGACAGTTAAATAGCATGAGTTTTGAGCTGGAACTCTGTCCCAGACATCTAGTTTTTCCTTAGTACCCATGCCATAAAACAGTTACTTGAGTAGTAACCTTGCTGTACAGCCTACTTTTAGAAAGGTTGACATGTAGCAGGTCCAGAGAAGGGCAACAAAGCTGTTGAAAGGTCTAGAGCATGAGTGTTAGGAGGAGTGGCTGAGGGAGGAGGGTTGTTTAGCCTGAAGAAAAGGAAGCTCAGGGGAGACCTTATCGCTGTCTACAACTACCTGAAAGAAGATTGTACAGAAGTGGGTGCTGGTCTCTTCTCCCAGGTAACAAGTGATACGACAAGAGGAAGTGGCCTCAAGTTGCACCACGGCGTGTCTGTGTTGGATATTAGGAAAAATTTCTTCATTGACAGGATTATCAAGCACTGGAACAGGCTACTGAGGGAAGTGGTTGAGTGATCATCCCTAGATGTGTTTAAAAGTCGTTTAGATATGATGCTTAGGGACGTGACAGCAGTAAACTTAGTAGAGTTAGGTTAATGATTGGACTTAATGATCTTAAACTTGTCTTTTCCAACCTAAATGATTCTGTGGTTTGGTGGGCAGTTCCCTAAAGATTCAAATGTTTTAAATACCTTGACTTCTTTGGAAACAGCTTCGTGTCTCTGTTTTGCTACAGCATAATAATTAAGATGATTGAGAGTCTGTGTAACCCTGAATGATATGGCTGAAACTACTTGTTGCCAGGTACCTAGAGTCAGCACATGGAATGTGTACTCGTGATCCCAGACTACCAGCATGTGCACTTCTGGGGATGTGCAGCCATTTCAGATTCCTGAATGCCTTGATTAGGAAGTGAGAACTGACAGTTCACTGACAGTAGGGGTCCTTTGCCTCTATTGTTACTTACGAACCCCATCCTAAATTATTTCATTGTGGCCTGTAGACTCCTCATGAAGAGCGAAATTATGCGGTTAAGATTTGGGGACTCTCCATTGATGTCATTACATAGTTGCTCTCAGTATTTTTGTAGATTTTGCAGGCGTCAATGTCAATTTTATATTTTGCTACTAAAAAAACAAGTGTGCACCCTCTGCTTTGTTTTGGTGTATTTTGATAATGAGTGTATTACTTCTAATGACTTCTTTTTCCACGTGCCTTGGTTTAGTTTTGGTCTTAAATTTAGGATAAATTTGGTTTTAAAGCTGTAATATATTCTATTTGTGGCTCTAATTTTAAAAAATATGTTCATATTTAAAGCACCGGTTCTGTCTTGAAAGACCTGGAAGTTTGTGCTTCTGAGTTCGTAAACTAAAACTTTTGTAATAACTGGCTTTAAGGGATCATACTTGTTATGTTTGTCTAAAATATAACTTTCACCTTCAATTCCTTTATAGTTAATATTCCAATATCGTGTTCAATTATCTACCTTACTTGAAATACCACATTTGAATAATTCCTGTTGGTTTTTTTTAGGGACTCAGCAACAGCCTATGGAACAACATGCTGTGGAAAAAGAAGCTTTGGAGAAGATTAAAATAGAAATTGAAGAGGAACTAAAACATCTTGATGAAGAAATCTTGGAAGGTGGTCTTCAGATTTTCTTGTTTCAATCGATAATCTCTGTGCCTTGTAAGGGTGGTTAATTTGTAACAGGTACTGTAGTTAGAGATTTTTGTACACAATGAATCTCTTCCCCCTCCTCCCCCCACAAGATTTCTACACTGTCACGTGAAATAAAATAGTTAAAGGTTACCATGTGGAGTAGTGGAGTCTAGCCAAAGCAAACACTTGAATGACACTTAATAGGCTACTATAAATAATGAAATGTAAGCAGCCCTTAAGCTGCTCGAGTTGATGACAGAAGTGAAATCGTTCCTCAGCAGCTAACATTCAGAGGAGTGTGGACTTAAACCATCAGATTAATCACTTCCACGAGATTTATTTTTTCCAGTGTGCTTTGACCTGTAGATTTTGTAGGACTAGGGATGATTTGGAAACAGTCTTTGCTTTGCATGTGTGTTGCAAATTGGAGATCTGAAGTATAGAAAGGCTCTGGGTCTATTTATGTTCATCCATACAGACCTTTCCTAGATGTTTGAGAAGGAGAAGGTTATGTGAAGGAAGCATTATTTTAGAAAATGATACTCTAGTGTGCTACAGATATATCCATGTGTGGGCAAATTTTACCATGGAAGAGAGGGTCTCTTGCTGCTCCATCAGGGTTGACATCATCTTAAAATTAGGAATGCTTGCATGTTCAGCTAACTTGCTGGTTAGGGTGCAGTTGTGAAATAAGAGCTGGAAGGGAAATGTAGCTCAAAGTCACCTATGACTTTTAAGTACAAGTTCCAGAATATATTTGGATTATACTTGTTTTGCTACTATTTTTTGATAGCATACTTCGACAATAGAGTTGTGATTTCTTCGTTCCTCGTGTAAACTGTGTTAACTGATGGAATAAGAAATCTGAGACTGTTGACATTATTACATGTATCTATTTTATTTTGTGTGTTTTTTTTCTCAGCATTTACCACTACAGGATTTGACTGCCACACTTCCCCAGTGTTCAGCCCTGCCAATCCAGAGAGCTCAATAGAAGACTGCTTGGCTCATTTGGGGGAGAAAGTGTCCCAGGAATTGAAAGAACATCTGCACAAAGCACTGCAGAGCTTGCTTAGCAAGTGAGTTTCCATTTGCTTTTTCAATGGGAAGATGTTTCCTTATGCAATGTGACTGCTGCTGAAATGCTAAAGATGGGGCTACATTTTGTATTGCATATCTTTGTTTTTCAATGTTCCTTTCTCTGGCTCTGTTTTCGTGTTGTAATGTGTGGATACCTCTTTGTGGTATTTGCTCTTCGCAGTTCTAAAGTTCTAAAGTTTTTCCAAGCTTTTATCATTGAACTTCTGAGACTAATTCAAGTAGTTTGAGTTGCTGGTGAAACTAGCGGCTGGCAGCTGCCAACTGCCACTGCCAATTTAATGAATGCTGGGCTGGAGCCAGATTAACTTCTTTTACCTTAGAGTTAAGAGTGGGGCTAAAGGTTTGTTTGTAGTTTAGCGCAAGATGAGCGTTTCCGTGGAAAGATGGTAGTGAGATGCCTTGTGGCCACCACTCAGTTATGCAGCTGAAAGCAGACGTGGGCCCCTGGGCTAACTTTGGTGCCTTCGGAGCTGTCCTGCCAGTTCAAGCTTATTGCTTAAATTGCGCGTCGTACTCGGCACAACAGTGTCTTGATGAACATCTTTTGAAAATTGGTAAAACTGTTGTGGTTACTTGCTTTTCTATTATAAATTACCAGCCTGATTTTAATAGATCCACATGAACTACTTCTGGCTGTTCTGAGTGACCTCCAGAATGTACTTGTAGAGAGCTGGAAGGTGCTGCTTTAGGGACAGTTACATAAATGGAGATGTGAAGGCAACGTTAGCAAATAGCTATCTGACCCTATGTTTTCAGGATTGGTTCAAATTATATGGCTCAAAAGAACTGGAGAATCTCTAGTCCCACTCTTTCAGAGTTTGTGTAGCTGTTCATGAACTATTGGAACAGCAGGGTACTGGAAGCCTAGATATCAGCACCTAGTGTAGACTTTCAAAGCATGGAGCCTAAGCCTTCCATAGATGCACTGGAGAGGCATCTCATGGCCTCATGAAGGTAATACCCTTTATGGCAGACTTCTAGTAGGTTACGTATTTGGAAGTCATTCCATCTGCACGTCAGGAAACACCCTTTTACTGTGAGGGCAACTGAGCACTGGTGCAGGTTGCTTGAAGGTGTTGTAGAGTCTATGTCCTCTATGTCTGTGGAGATATTCAGAAGCCATCTGGGTCTGATCCTGAGTAGCCTGCTGCAGGACACCTTGATTGTGCAGGGAGGTTGTTATCCCAAATCTAGGTTCTTTACCTGGTGTGCAAAAACCAAACGACACACAGAGTCAAGATACTTTGTTTTATTTCTGTTCTGCCCAGAAAGGGGTGCTAGGTCATAATTCTCAAAGTTAGTGCACCTTGTGAGAAATAAGCTGGGTTTTATATACAAAATAACAAAAAAGGAGGAACTACAGTAAAGTAAATGATCGGTTAGTCATTTGTCACTCCTGACTTTACATATGTAAGCAGAAATTTACCATTCTCTTATCCTGACAATAAGCTCAGCCAAGTTCTGGTGGTCACCTGCTGCAGGCACAACCTACACAAGCCCACTTGGTTGTGACTGTTAACCCTTTTCTTTTGGCAGCAAGGTTGGACAGGATGTTCTCCAGCAGTGCCTTTCATCCTAAACCATTCTGTGATTCCTTAAACTAGCTCCCTGGTCAACAACTAAGGGTTGACTTTTTATGACAAATTTAATTTAAAACTGACTGTTCAAAGTCAGGTGGGATGGGGCTTTGGGCAGCCTGATGAAGTGAAAGATGTTCCTGCCCAGGATCTTTAAAGGTCCCATTGGGTGGTTTCATCCTATGATTCTATGACTCTGACTTGGATTTCACAGTAAATGTGCCATGTAACATCTGATCAGATAGATGAAGAAAGTGTCTCTTTTTCCATGAGTCATCCAGGGGAAAAGTGCACACTATCAATTCACCATTTAACTTTCAGAAACTAATATACACGCTGTCTGCTTCTATATGCAGTTTCTGTAGGGTAAAAAATATGTTCAGTACTGTGTAAACTAACAATGTTTTACCCACAGAAAAGCCTATGTGGGGTACGGGCTTCTCCTTAAGTGGCTAAAGATACACTATTGTGTTCCTACAGAAGCTGCAGAAGCTTATCTGCCTTTACAAGCCAGGCACCTGTCCCATGTGGCCTTTAAAATCTTGTATGTAGCATCTTCTGAAGAGCTGAGGTTTGAATAAGTACCTCACTACAAACTAAAAAAAAGCAGTCTGGCAGGAAGTTGGAAAATTAGCAATTAGCCTTGCAACCCATCCTTTTTGTATGTCTACAATGGTAAATTGAAACAACAGCATTTTAAGTTCCAAATGTCTTAAATGTTGTAGATAACTGGCTGGCTGGCTGACATTGAGGGGTCATAACTGGTATACTCTAGGCTGATTCTTTTTGGAAAGTTTCTGAGATGAGGTATTTGAAAATTAAATGGTTCTATCTTGTTAGTAGCCTGATGTTCTAAGTTTCTTGTGTATGCTATGGGAAAATATTTGCATTTTAAGTATTTTTAAAATTTACACGTGTATGTACATACGTATAAAGTCTGAAATGCCTGTGCAAACGTGTTGACCTGCATGCCTTTGTATAAGGCAAACCAGAGCTACTGCTTAATCTCTTGATAATATCCTTCCTGCAGCTGTTGTTGTTCTTCTCATCCCATTCATGGATTCATTTGGATTTGCATGGAATCCATGATTCATTTGGATTTGCATTTTAAAAGAACTAATGTAGCAAGGAAGTTAAGAGAATGCACTTAAAATGAGAAACTCAAATTGTTTACCTCAGTGTGCTTTGATTCTGTTCTTTTGCCCATGTTTGCTGCAGCAGTGCTATTTGATGAGATACTTCCTTATTGTGCTTCTCTTTTCCCATCTCCTTATACGCATGTGAACAAGTATGTTATGGTACAGTGGACTGTGACAGGTTCTTGGAGATGAACAAGCAGTCTTCTGTCCAATAACTGTCTTCAGTTTTGTCATGATCTGGCTCAGGAAAACTGCTTTTGAAGCAGTGCATCTTCTCCTGTCACCATACATAAAGTCTTTATTGATATTGACTTATCTAATGTCCATTAAGTTGTAGAGTATAAATTATGAAACTCACTGAACTGATGATGGAGAAGGTGATGCCTTTCCAGACCCTGTCTGCTGCTGGTCTGTTTATCTCCTAAAACACAAGACTTGTTAGCCCTTGAAATTTATTTGCTGTAATATATGTGAAAATATTTTGTTCTCTGGAAACTGAGAATTTTATTTTATTCTTATTCTTTTGTTTCCTTTTATAACTTTCAGTGTTGGTTTAACTTCTGCAGGCCGGTGACATATCAAGAATATCGAGAGCGCACACAAGAGGCAGCTGCTCATGCCAATGGGTGGAACAAGGTACCAAACACGTGACTTTCACTTTGGTCTTTCTTGTGTTTTTACTAGGTAAAGTTATGCTTCACAGAAGACCAAGAATAAAAAGAACTCACTTATTTTTAGTATGAAGTAACTTTCACTCCCAGAATGGTAGATGTGGACACAATGTGTAGTTTTTAGATAATTTAGTGAAAAGTTATCTAATGGTAGTATTAGGTCAGTCCTCCTTTATTACAGCAAAATGAAAAGTTAGAGTTGTTGCTTCCATAATTAAAAAGAAAAAAATCATTAAACATTTTGAAATTCCAAAGAGAGATTTATTTCTTTAGCAATTTTGTAATGAAATCTACGACTGATGTTTTCATAATACTGTTTCTTTGCTCCCATTCCAGGCTGAAAATATATGTTAAAAAAAAAAAAGTGCTAAATATGGTGAAAATAAAAATTGATATTGATAAAAATTATCTTCACAATATTTAAATTGTTCAGAAAAAATAAGAGTGGTATGGCTACCTGATTTCTGGAGTACTTATCTCAAATGGTATGAAACTTCTTTTTAAAACAATATGCAAACCTGTAAATGAACTGAAGCTTCTTTTTAAAAAAAAAACGCAAATCTGTAAATGATCTATCTTATAATAATTTGAATGTAGAATGAGTAGAATTACTGTTCCCAGATTCATCTTTCATTAATCATTCCAATTCACCATCTTAATCATTCTCCAATATGTTCAGTGGGCATCAGAAAAAGAATGAAATAACTACTCTCAAACTTAACCACAAAAGGAGTGTTAAAATTTAGGCTTAAGTTTAAATTAGAACAAGAAATATTTTTCCCCCTTTTTTTTTTTTGCCCAAAATACTTTTCCTTAACTAGATTTCCCTACTTAATTCAGAAATGGATCATCTCATCAAGGGTGTGGGCACTTTTAAGCAGTTAATTAAACATTGCTTGACAAGTTTCTGCCCATGGCTCAAACAAGTATAACTGATGTGTGTGTGCTTTCATATTATCATCTTGTGATTCACAGCATTTTAGTTTGAACAACCATGAAATCTGATTTTCAAGAAGGTGGCTTAGGCTAGCACGTTTGTCTTTTCAGTTGGTGAAAACTAAAAACAAGCATAAAACCAGTCCCTGTGGCTCAGCTGGCGAGGGGGATGGAGTTTGTCAGTTGCCCACTACATCTCCGTATGCTTTTGGTACACACCTCTTGGAGTTACAGCCCTGTGTAGTTGGATCAGCCACATTCTGGGGGTTTATGATTCAGCCTTCATTGCTGTTCCATCTGTGCAGCCCCAGTGGCTTAGTGGCTTTTGGTCCCCATCAGCTTGTAACTGAGAGTGTCATCCAGAGCTTGTCTTTGTCATCGTCTTTGCCTACCCATAATATTTGGTGCTGCAAAACTGATAGTCCACAAGCAAACCAGAATGGAAATTTTGTGGAATAATAGAGCATCTGTTTGGATTGGTTTTGTGGTATCTTGG